CAACCAATCATGGGGATGGTGCAGGACCAAGCAGCATTTCATTCCGTTGTATATGGGGTCACCATGAGTCAAGGGCCAACTGGATGACAGCTAACAAGAACAACGGAAAAAGTAGCACAGGGCAAGGAAAATTGGAGTGCTGGGGTCGGGGTAGGTTGCAGTTTTTGAAAAGGAGATCAGAGTAGGCCTCATTGAAAAGGTGACACATCAGCAAAGACTTGAAGGAGATAGAGGGAGTTAGTTATAAGGATATGTAGGGAAAGCGCAGTAGAGCAGAGAGAAGAGCAAGCACAAATGCCCTATGGTAGGATTGTGCCTGAAAATTTCAAAGAACAGCAAGGAGGCCAGTGTGACTGGAGCATGATGAGTGAGGTGGAGATGGGGTCAGAGCAGTAATAGGGAGCCAGACCAACACTTCGTAAGCCACAGGAAGGGGTCTGGCGCTTACTCTAAGGAGATGGAGAGCCATTGCAGGGATTCGAGCAGAGGACTTTCATGATCTGAGTTATGTTTTAAACTCTGGCTGCTGTATGGGATTATGCAGGTATTATGCAGTTGAGGGTGGAGGTAGACAGACTGACTGTTTAGGAGGCTGTTGCAGTATTCAGGTTAGACATGATGGTGCTCCCACCAGGAGACTTCCAGTAGTAGTTGTAAGTGGAAGGACTCTGAATTGTGAAGATGGATTCGATGGGGGTATGAGAAAAAGAGAGGCGTTAAGTTCGTCAGATTTTTTAGCCTGATTAGCTGAAAAGATGAAGTTACCTTCAACCAAGATGGAGAAGAGGTAGATTTGGTTTGGACGTAAGATTAAGAGTGCCGTTTTAGTGATAGTAAGTTTAAGATGTCCATCGCACATCCAGGTGGAGCTGCTGAGTAGACAGATGTATGAGTCTGGATTTTGGGAGAGAGGTCTCAGCTGGAGATGTAAATTTGGGAATTGTCGGTTTGGATGAGATCACCAAGAGTTTGAGGGGTTCTGGGATTAAGTCCTAGAGCTCTTCAATATTACAGATGGGGGGAAGAGAAGAAAGGAAACTGAGAAAGAACAACCAGAGAAATAATAAAACCAAGAAAGTATGGTGCTTTGGAAGCCAAGAGAAGAAAATGTGTTGAGGAGGAGACGGGGTGATGAACTGTGTCAAATACTGCCTGTTATGGGCTGAATTGTGTCCCCACATATGTGTTGGAATCCTAACCTCTGTACTTGTGGATGTAATCCCATTTGGGAATAGGGTTTTCTTTATTATGTTAATGAGACTGTATCAGTGTAGGATGTGTCCTAAACCTGCTCACTTCTAAATTATAAAAGGAGCTGATTAGACACAGAAGCAAGCACATCCAGAAAGAAGACAGTCTGATGAGGACAGAAGCAGATGAATCTACAAGCCCAGGAACTCCCAGGATTGCTGGCTATAAGAATCTGTAGTAGACAAAGGACCATCCCCCTAGAGCCCCACTCTGAACTCAGACTTCTAGCCTCCTGAACTGTTTCTATTCTGATAAATTTCTGTTCTTTAAAGCCACCCCCTTGTGGTATTTGTGTTACAGCAGCACTAGGGAACTGAGACACTGCCTGAGAGGTTTGGAACCCCCTTACAGCAAACAGTTTGGCCTTTGGTCCTGGTTCCTGAGAGCCAGACCACCTTGAGGCCAGTGAGTAGGGGCTGACCAGCCCAAAAGGGCTCACCTGGGGGCCTAATACTAAGCCTCACGAGTCTCACGAAGTAATTTACCAGGGACCCATGGTGAGGCCAATCAGGGCTTTGGGAGACGGGGTTCAGTGGAGCTTCCAGGTTGAGGAGAGTGAACACTCTGCTCTCAGGAGGTTCATGGGTCCCTGGGGGGCATGGGAGTGCTGCTTTTGGGCCCCTCCCAAACCCGGCCTTATTTGTCCTTCATTTGTATCCTTCCTGGTTATAAATAGGTAGCTCTAAGTATAGATGCTGCTCCATGAATTCTGTGAGTCATTATCAAACCCACAGGGGCAGGTGGAGCCAAGAGGTCAGAAGTACAGGTGTTGTGTGAACTCCTGGTCTTGCAGCTGCTGTCCTGACAAGGTTAGAGGAAAACCCCAGGTTTGGAGCCAGTTGGTCTGAAGGGCAGGGAGTCGTGTGGACCTCCATTAACTCACCCCTGGATGGCTGGGGATGACATTGCTGCTGGGGTAGCTGGTGATGAGCATGAAGACGTGGGAAGGTGAGGTAGGCTCATTTTCCAGGTGGGAATTGGATTCCTGTTGATCCTGACCATGCAGTTAGCGATGATGATGGGAGGTGCCCACGGTGCTCCTTACTTATGCTTGTTAGTGCACAGTCCAGGTAACACGAAGTCTGAGAATCGATCATTAATTTTAGCAATACGAAGGTTGTTTTTGATCTCGACAAGAACAGTGTTGTTGGGGACTGGGGTGAAACTGATCAGAATGGCTTTAAGAGAGAATGGAAGGAGAGGACTTGGAGACAGCCAGTGTAAGACGGCTCTTGTGAGGGTTTTGCTAGAAAGGGGATCACAGAAATGGGGCAGTAACTGGAGGAGGTGGTGGGGTGATGACAAGTATTTTGAAGATGGGAGATATTTCAGCATGTTTGTATGTTGATGGGAATAGTCCAGTGGAAAGCAAAAGATCATAGAGAGGAGGGAGATTTGCTGGGATGATGTCCCTTAGAAGGCAAGTGAGATGACTCGAATACCCAAAAGGACAGACTGGCTTATTTGGAAACGGATAATCGATGGTAAGAGGTAGAAAGGCCGAGTATGTGAGTACAGGTGCTTGGGAAATTCTCTTCTGATTGCTTCATTTTTCTCATTGAAATAGGACAGAAGACCATTGAGTTGCAAGCAAGGAGGAAGGAGTAGGTGTTAGGTTTTAGGAGAGAGAAGCATGAGTGGAATAGTCATCTGGGAGAACAGAAGAGCGGGAGAGTGAATGGACCAGGGCAGATGGTGCCAGGCATCGGTCATGAGTGTAAAGTGCCACCAGGCAGCACAGTTATGTTCAAATCCACTGGAAATTTTAAAAATTTAGCTGGTTGTTTTAAAACTCTACTAAGATTACTGTTCGCAGTGACAAAACTATATTTGCTTGGCTGTGATCTTCCTTCATTTTTAAAATAACTTTTCATTGATGTCCATGCACTATATAGACAAGAACACACAAATTTGTTCTTTTCTTTTTTTACTGTCTCTCCTATGAATAATAATAAATGGGAAATTACCAAAAGTGAGCCAGAGAGAGAGGAGAAACAAGCCTTGCTAAGCAGCCCTGAAGAACCATGAACACCTTGCTGTTCTCTCTTCACAGCTTTCAGAAACAAGCCTTGCTAATAGCCCTGAAGAACCATAAACACCTTGCTGTTCTCTCTTTACAGCTTTCAGATTCAGGCACTGGTTGGTAGTGAGTAACCTTTTTGTGGAAAACACTGTTCTGCTCTAAGGGGATGAGCATAAGTTCAGGTTTCTTCCTTTGTGGGAGGGAAAATGATTTACTAGTGTTTCTGTTCTCTCTGGAGCCCCAGACCAGCTCTAAAAAAAACAGTTGCCGTCAAGTTGACCCCAATATGTGGCAACCTCCTGTGTGTCAGTGGACCTGTGCTCCATAGGGTCAGTGGCTGATTTTTCAGAAGTAGATTGCCAGGCCTTTCTTCTGAGGAACGTGTGGGGGGACTCAAAGCTTTTGGTTAGTAGCCAAGCACATTAACTACTGGCCCCATCCAGGGACTCCAGACCATCTCTAGGTCCATGTATTTAGTTGTGAACACAAAGGGAACATGTTGATTTGGACTCATATTAGGGTGCTGAGTTATCTGCAGAAGTCGTACTGGACTTACAGGAAGGTTGAGTTTACAATCTCTCCCACATCTCAGTATCTCCTCTGGGGCGTGGGCTCTGTCTGTGTCCACTGTGCTCTGTCTAGCAGCTCTGGAGGCGAACTGTAAAATCGAACACAATCACTCTTGGCTCCATTCTTGTTTTTCAGGGTTGGGGAGCTGAGTATCATCGCCAGGATGTCACGAGCACCCCCTGCTGGATCGAGGTTCACCTTCACGGACCCCTGCAATGGTTGGACAAAGTTCTGACTCAGATGGGCTCTCCACATAACCCAATTTCTTCAGTGTCGTAACAGTCCTCTTTTAAGCCACGTTTCTGCAGAATACATACTGTTGTACACGGTGGCTTATGTAATTTCAGATTTGGAATTAACTGAAGTTTCTAAGTACATGTATACATACTTATACTGTATACTAATCTTTTTTTAAATCAACATTTGTCTTGTGGTTTCTAGTTAACCTGATATCAGTACAGTGTGATTAGCAAAGCAGGGCTATCATGCCTCTACCATCGTAAGAAACAGCTTCTTCTGTGGGAGCCAGTAAGTGAAAGGCAACTGGGTCAGTAGTATTGGAAGGCTTTTGACAGAATCCAAGGGAGCTTTAGTCACGCATGTCGTTCTAAGGCGTGTTGTGTGGCCAGACAGAGAAATATTAAAACTTTATACAGGAAAATCAGGTACTGGAAGCACTAGAGCAAATAACGCTTTCAGACAGAACAAATCAAACCCGCATAGTTTAATGATCTCACTTTTAGTGCTGTTGGCAAGAGGAAATATCACTCTTGTATAATCAGGTAGGCTAAGCCAAAGAGATTTTTTTAATTGTGATAAATATATATGTAACAAAGCATTTGACATTTCAACAATCTTCATATGTACCACTCAGTGATGTTAATTATGCTCTGACATTGGAATATTTATGGCTTGACTGATACTAATGGTAGATCTGAAACAAATTTAAACTGTGATTGGAAAAGAAAAATGTGAAGCTTAGAGTCGTGTTGCTTCGTAATCTACCATTGTAAAAAAGAAAAAGAAGAAGGAATGAGTCTCATATGTGAGAACAGCATGAAATGAATTATCGTCCCAGATTGCAAGATGAGACCAGAAGTTCGTCCAGCAGTCACCCAGGGAGACTCCTGCTTTCCACATAGGACATCAGGTTCTGTTTTCCTGGCCATTCACCCAGCAATCCTGCAGATACTTGAGACTGCATGGCGTGGCATTGCACCACGTGTTTCAGTCCTATCAGAGAGGAAGCAGGTAAAGTAAAAGGGCTGGACAAAAGCATCTCAGGTTTACTTAAGTCTTCTCCCATTCCTACTTTAAAGTCTGTAGGAGAAAGCCCCCTTTTGCCACATTTTCCTTGCCTGTTGACAAACATGAACTGTTTACAGATTACCAAAACAATGGTGAAACCTTCGAGAAAATCTGGAGACAGTGTTGAATCGATTTTATGAGTTGTTTAACTTAGTGTCTCTATTGATTAAATCATCTATTGGTCAAATCTGGTAATCTCTTATATAGCTAGTCTCATACCTGGAAATATCTTCCCAAGAAAAATGATAATTTCAAAATCCCCCATAATTTTTGTAGAACACTCATACTGATAATAGGAACATCTTTTTTAAACATATACGACATTAAAACCTGTGGATGATAACTATAGGAAACTTCCCCACATTTCTAGGTACTTTCATGTATATATGTAATTGCCACCCACTAAACACTGCATTGCTTGGAAAAATAGTTTACACCCTCTTAAAAATGTGTAATTTGTCAGTCATGCTTGTAACAGACGGTACTTCATTGATCTATTCTCTTTCAGCTCTTTGTAGCACTAGTGCGCACATTAGTTTCTCATCAAATTGTATTCACGGTTGAAATGATCGCGTGAAAAAGATACATGAGCGACCTTCCACTGTCACCTCTTGTGATGACTAGTGTTATCTGATAGAATCTTTCATATATACAGTAGAAAGTAAACATTACATTTTGCATTAAAACTAAGTGGTGCATAGTGCTTATAAGCGCCCATAGTTTATGTATCGCGTACCTCTGTGCGGTGGTAGGTACTGTGGAATCAAATGGAAACACAGGACGGTCCCAGCCCTCGTGGACCTGAGCGTCTAGTAGTAAATCTGTTTGTCTAGAATCTTCATGTTTCAGAACTTTCAAAACAAAACATGTCATCTTTCTTTTGCTTGAAAAACTGTAATTCATTTCTTTATTATCTCAATTTTGAAACTTTTATTTCCCTTCTCTTCTGAGCAGTCAGGTGATAGATGAACACTTCTTGGATAAATGCTACCTTCCTTGTGTGTCTCAAAGTTGTTTTTCCCCCTTGCTCCCTATTCTCCAGTAACTCTCCGTCCCCCTTCTTTTGACAGAGGCATTAACATGGTGAGTGCCCCTCCCACGAGAGCATCAAATACATGCTGTTTTTGCTCCAGAGATCAAACATACCTTTCTTGATCTCTCCAACCAAAA